CAGGCGAAATTGCCGCCCAAGTAAGGTGATATCTACATTCCAAACATTTTTTTTCGATCCCATCCAGATTGCAACTGTTTTTCATTATGAGTTTTGCTTTTCTTCACATCAATATGACGTGAAAATGAACCGAATATCCATGAGAAAAAAAAACGTAAAATGCGAAAGAAAACGAAAAAATTTTCAAGAAATTACAGTTGACATTGACTAGAAATTACGATTTTGGATACAAATGTAATCATTCAGAAGTGCAGTCAACGCTGTTCATTTACTAAAAAGAGCCAAAAATGAAGGAGTGATTTGAAAGAAAAACAACGTCTAAAAGAATTAATTCATTGTCAGCGGTATAATCAAATGAATAAGAATGCAAATAAGCACACAATTCTTAAGCAATTAACTGCTTGTGTTGCTGTGCACTCAATCTAAATCGAGAACGAAGTCGAGTTGGAGATCGCACTGTGAGTAAGCGATAAAAATTTTCGTTCAGTAATAGTGATGAAAAGAAAAAACCAGCCACAACGCAAAGAGCTGATAAAAAAGTTGTAATCAAGTCGTAACAAATTTATCGTGATGTTCGCCAAGAACGCATCAGTTCAGTAGAGGATGTGTTCTAGTCAAAATCGACTACAGTGCTACGAATACGAAAGAACGATCACCCTTAGCCGCAATAATCGAACAGAATGCAAACGATTACATTTACGAGTATTTCTGGCATGACTCCGGAGTGGAAATAAATGATTTTCTTTTTTTGGGTTGCAAAAATCAGACGAAATTTATCAGCACTTGTAAAGAAAGAGGAATATGCGAAGACTATCAAGGATACGCAGAGAGAAGTACTTTGCAGGCGTTTCACTCGTTATCAGCGATTTGATATATGTATACATTGTTGAAATAATCTGTTCACATTGTAAATGCTTACTAGTGCTAATGCAAGAATTTGCATTCGATGAAAGTGTTTTTGCATTCCCATGCGGAATTCTGTGATCATGTTCATGACGGTTTCTCCATTTCAAATGTCATCAATAATGGTGCGTAGATGTTTGTGTGCGAAAAAAAAAACGAATCAAATGAAAGACGTTCCAGTACTGATTATGTGACAGTTGTTGCATACGTCACCAATGTGCGATGAGCAACTGAATCGATTCAAACTTCACAAATTGAAATGATGTCTTACAGTCAATTATGTTTTGAATTACAACGATCATGTTATAAGACGTCTTGAATCCTCAAATTGTGAAACAAAAATTACGGAATGACGTTTTACGATTGGACAATATGGTTCTATCAGCTAGATTAAAAACTTAATGGACAAATGAACAATTAGTTTGGATGATAAATGGTGATCAAACTTTGATACATCGAACACATTGAACTGGTATTTTGCCGTTCAACTGAATTTACAGATGCGTTTAACGGACAAAAAGATTTCTCGACAAAACAATCAGTTTTTCAGCTATTATGATACTTAAAATCAGCTGTTCAGAATCTTTAACGTCATTGAGGAAAACACTGCACTTCAGGAATCAAAGTAAAGAAGAAATGAAACGATATGAACTGACAGTTTAGAAAAAATCGATCATAGCCAGAAAAAAAAAAAAAGAACTCAGAAAGAAATCTTCAATGTAATATACAATAACCCATAGTTGGCCATAGGCTATTATATAAGCACTGACAAAATCAACG